TACGCATTTGTGAAGGAAATGAATGGAAGACAGCATTCAACCTCCCCTATAGGACATTATAAATACCTGGTTATGCCTTTTGGACTAGATAACACTTCAGCTCTCTTCCAACCAGTGTTAATTTTGTCAACCAGGACGATGACGAAAATATTTTGTCAACCCCCATTTTTCCTGTGACAATGATGAGATGATGATGCACAAAAATTGTTTCAAGAAAAAAAAAAATATGTCAAAATAAAAAAATAATTTCATCAACGAGACTAACACCAGACAGAATTTACGAGCCACTGACGAATTGACATTAAGGAATGTAATTGTTTATAACTAATTTGTAATTGTTAATATAAGTGTTTCTTGAACTTCATAGAAGATTAGGCATTGTTGCCCTGTTTGTCCCTACATGGGGCCTGTTAGGGTTGTAAATCACATCCATCATGGGGATGCGATTCAGCATCGTTTTCCTGACCCAACGATTCGATTATTTTCGATACTCAAGAATACACCACGATTCGATGCGATTTGATTAATCGATTAATTGGTTAATTTTTTTTTTTTTTTTTACACCTTACAGGCTAAACAAAGTTTCAAGTTTGAAATAAATCAATGAAAACTGTAATATCGTTATGCATTTTTTTTTTTTAGAAACAACAACAAATAACAGAATGCAAAAATACTGCACATAATCAGTGCAATGAGTGCAATTCAATACCTTGGCTCCAGACGTCTCCACCCCCTTGACAGACGCTTCCGCTGCACCTCTCCCAAATTGTAGCTGACCGCAAACAGGAGGCCAGCTTGTTTTGTTTTTATGACCGAAATTGCGGAAAACAACTCGTGAAGTTTGACCCGCTAGAAGAGTGAGGTGTGCGAAAATGCTGGGACCCTTTTTCCACCTATATCTCCGCCCTTTTTGGCCCTCATGTACTTCCGTCGTCGGACTAAACTCGCCCCCACTTCCTCGCCTCCTCGGCCGTATCTAGACCCACCACAGCACGGGAGGGAGAATTACGCCCAGGAGCAAATGGATAAAAATAGACCGGAGGAAAAAAAACAACATGAATCGATTCTCTTGGGGACGTGTCAATGCATCGGATCGTCGGCTGTTGGATCGATGCATCGATACAAAATGATTATTTTTTACACCCCTAGCGCCTGTCCCACAGTGCCTCGCACTGCTTAATCAGTTGTAGCATAGGGCTTATACTCCTAGCTCAACTTCGCAGTGATTGCGTGGGGCTCGGATACCGGTGTACGGTTTGTGTGAGGAGCTGGGCGAAAACAACGCCTGGATGTATGGAGCCATTTCGTTTACAATTTCGTTTTCCGAAAGCCTTTTGATACCCTTGTACAAGCAGAAAAATGCTCTCTATACATCACTCTTAATGTAGGCTACAAGTATTACTGTAGGACAGAAAGTGAAAATTCCTAATTTAGACAATTTGGTAACATTGTCTGTAACTTAAAGATCCAGAATGCTTCCCTTCTTCTTAGAAGCAAGTCTTGGTCTCTGCCCCTAGGTGGCAACAACACCTGTTTGACTCCCACAGAAGTGGAGTGAGGCCATTTCATGTGTCATTTCTTTAGTTGTTGGTGTGGCCAGTTATGAGTCTTCTGTAGTTGGTTATGCTTTTTTGTGGTGAAAATTAGCATGGATCTTGTGATCTTTTCAGATTTGTCCTGTTTTATAAACAAATAAAGGCAGATCTTTTAAAGATGGAAATGATCTCTGGATCAGATTTTAATATATTCCATTATTTAACAGCATAACTATGAGGAGAGTAAGTCATGACTCATCCAACTGTTTTCCTTTTCTCTGGCTGTTGTTTAAGAGATCATCATCAGATCTGATGTGTACGTTTTGTCTACTAAATTCCGGGGATAGCCTCATTTGGGGAATTTTCATTTGATTTGAGAAAAATTTTCCAAACATTCAACTTAATTTGATAAAATTTTCTGTAGGCTGACAGGAAAGGGGGTATGAGAGAGTAGAAGAGACATGTGGAAAAGGACCACAGGTCAGAGTCGAACCCCAGTCGGCCAGGTCGAGGACTAAGGCCTACATACTGTTAACTGGATTGGACCGGGCATTGGAACTGAGCTGTGAGCTTCGGGGCTGGTCCTGGAACCCCACCAGTGACACGACCCAGTGACCGTAGCCTGGACACCAACAGCCCCGTGCTTCCCTCCGCCTGCCTTACCGTGGGCACGGAGCTGCCGGCGTACAGGCTACCATCACTGGGTCGGGCTTGGTCGCTCTGTCCCCGCCCCCGACCAGCCCCAGAGCTCACAGCCTGGTTCTGCTGCACTGTAGTCGACCAAAATCCTGGACAATTTTAAAATTCCCCCGGATATTTTTTTTTGGGTATCAAAAGTAGGACATGTCCGGAAAAAAGAGGACGTCTGGTCACCCACACCTAAAGCATCAAGGGCAGCAAAAACGCATGTGCTGCTTCATTTTTTATGCTTGCACAAGTTTGGCTCGAATGCGCGCCTGAAGCATCTCTGCTGCTCTAGCTGCGCTCTGGAAAAGTGGGTCTGATGCGCGTTGGGCGGAGCTACCCTATCCTTTCTTTGCCTGTAACAATGGCAGCTACATTTGCTGATCAGTGGGTAAAATGTAGTTTGAATCTATTTTGAAGTGAGAAAGTCCATCTGGAAACATCGTCAGTGTAGTCAGTTCATCCAGATTACCATCCTGCCTTCAAATATTATTTCTGTTGGAGCCGCTCAGACCCCCGTAGACCGGCGGTGCGACTGGCATAGACTGGCATAATAAGGCGTATCGATGTCATGCTTTCACTTTTTATTTCAGGACAGACAAGAGAACAGTGTGTTAGAGCATTTTTTGTAGAAAATATTTTTAAACAGACACAGTCCTCTTTTAAAAAAGTGCAAAATTGGCAAAATGTGCAAAATTAACAAAAGCTTGTGTTGAATGTGTTGGTTCATTAATCAGCAAGTATAGTAGATATTGATATGGATGTTTAATTGTGACAATAATCTGGCTTTACGGAACGATTATACTGTACCAACTTTCATGTTGGTATAATCGTTCGTCCATGTTGCCATGGTAATGATGAAAAACGGAGGTCATTTTCAAAGATTTCAGTTCGAAATTTGACCGATTTCAAGTCCCTGAACAAAGTAGCTTCACAGCCGAATCATACATGATATAAAAAATATTCCTTCAATGCAAGCTCTAGACATGTCTGATGATGACATATGCCAGGTTTCATGTTTGTACATCCTTAGCTTCCTTCTAGATCCTTCTTTCCACACCTGTTTTGAATATATTGATCACTCAATTTTTTGTTCTGTTTGGCATATATACTCATCCTCTGCAGTTACTGTTTGGTGGATTATCCTCATTCCCTCCTTAAAATTGGGGTTCCCCTTTGCTGTGGTTCCTGTATTCCTCGATTAGTTATTTCTGGATTTATGCTTCCGTTGCCACTACTCATTATCATTATCAGATCTGCAAGAAACAATCTCAGCTTCCGTCTCTGCATTTGGGTCCTCTACAGACCTCCACAAAAACTGACATTATGCAAACAAAGAAACTTATAACTATAACGCCAGATGCATAGTATTATTGATCATCACAGAATCATAGTATAATTTAGCTTAAAACTACTTTTATGACTTTGACTCTATTACCAAGAAACTTTAGAGCTTACTGCTCATGCACATAGCAGCACTCCTTAAATCCCATGTAAACAAAATCCATCCATCTTCTCCTGTTTAGTCCTTGTCAGATTCATGGTGGGGCCGGTGCCTATCTCTGACAATCTATTGGGGAGAGGCAGGGTTCATCCTGAACAGGTCACCAGTCTGTCGTAGGGCAACACAGAGACGCAAAACGACACATAACCATGCACACACACTCACACCTAAGGGCAATGTAAAGAAACCAATTAACCTAACAGTCATGTTTAATGGACTTTGGGAGGAAGCCAGAGTACCAGGAGAGAACCCATGCATGAACGGGGAAAACATACAAACTTCATGCAGAATGAATAGAGTTCAGGAAACTAGAACCTTCTCGCTGCAAGGCAACACTGCTAAACTCTTCAGCACCATTCAGCCCATGCTGCCTTCTTGTAGTATTGTAATTATGGTAAATACTAAAAACGGGCATGAAAATTGCACATGAGCACTGACTTATTTTGTCATTTTCACTCAAAAGCTGGATTTTTCCTATACACAAGTTGCTGAGATAAAGCAAACTTTGACCTTTCAACATGGCAGAGCGCAGCGAAATTATCCTGTATGGTGAGTACTGCATTGTTAAATGTTCTGTCTCATGTTTGTAGCCTACACAAGGCCATTTAAACTTTTGTTAGTTTTAGAATAACCATTATTGTTTGATTTTACCAGATGCTGGCAAGCAGTCCAGTGAGGATAGTAGCCGGTAGAGTAGTGCATGAACTTTGTTCAGACCTATAGAATTTTTCTCATGAGATCTGTAGTGTACACCAGTGAGCACATAATTTACTGGAACCAGGAGATGACCCTATAACTTTCTTGCCCAAGTAGCAGGTCAGGATAATCTGTGGATCAACCATGTTCTTCTTCTTTACCACAAGCAAAGCACTTAAACACAAGGTGCTGGTAATTTCCACTTTACTCTTTAGTGGAAAGGATCATATTTACCATGACACTCACAATAAGTATTAGCTTTGCTTTCCTCACGTCAGCTGCATGTCCTCTATACAGTGTATAGGGTAAACTTGCCCATGCCTTATAGAAAAAGGCTATTCAAAAGAATAAAAACAATAACATAAAAATTCAGACGCAGTGATTTTTGTACAACATTACAGTGAAAAGCACCATTTTTTATTTTTTTAAATTATTTTTGCATCTGTTTTTCAGTATTTCCTTTGGGAAATTTTTCCCAAAACAATTTTTGGAAAAAAACATAAGGCTTTATTTTAAGGCAACAAAGTTAGAAAACATATGCAAGTTAAAGACTTATGAAAATATAATAAAAATCTGAACTGAGGTCCTATTTAACCACAACAATTAAAAATGTGACAAAATAGAGAGGCTTTAAATGACGATATTCCAAAAAGGTCAAATAATCTAAACCAGTTAAGGTTGAGAAAGACAACACAACACTGGTGCTGAGGGACTTCACCATCTGACTTTTCCAGGGAACTCATGGTTTGGAAGAAGAAACTTTCAATGAAAGCTGTGGCGGCAAATTATATTTTTTGTAGAGCTGCATTTAAAAGCACATACATAAATAATTCAGTTGTTAGTAAACACACAAACATAAAAAGAGACAAAAAAAAAAGATAAATGTGTCTCACCTCTACCAATGCATCCTCCATCTCTGATGGTGACATTGTGCTGGGAATAGCTAACTTCACGTGAAGTGACATAATATAATCTGTTGAAAAAGAAATTAATTTTTACCATAAAACAAAATGTGGATAATTAACTGACATGATAACTATTAAAGTAAATATAGATGTCAGCATATAGGAATGTAATACAATTCTATTTTTCAAATAAGGAAATAAGAAAAGCAAGAAAAGAGGGCAAATGAGTTCACTCACTTGGGCCTAATGATGAAGGTTTCACATTTTCGAGAAGTTTTTTTTTGTTGACAGGAAAAGGGGGAAAAAAATAAATTTTCATGAACCATGATGCTTTTCATTATTGAAAAAATGTCCAATATTCAAATGAATGCATGATTAATCAAGGAACAATAACTGTAAGATACTGTTCAAAACAGAATGATTGAGACAGCAAAAAGAAAGACTGAGCAAGAGATTAAAGCTATTTAAAGCATTGAAACTTTGGTGTCATGAGAAATTCGTAGATCTACTGCATATCCTACGGAGGTTGAGTATCTTACCAGTAGCTGCAGAGATGCTGAATCCACTGCTTCTTATGTTTTCAAACACAGAGAAGAGAGTGAATGTGTAGTTTGTACGAGCCTTAAGTGACGAGACGGTAAAGGTTACTGGTCCATCTTCATCTGGTGCACTGATGTTTGTCTCTGTGCCATTGAACTGGAGAACAAAGCTGATGTTGTTGATGAATTTATTCCATTGGAGAGTGATGCTGGTCTCATTTTGTTCTGATGGTCTGAAGCTTATTGCATTCAGAGGTGCTGAAATTGTTTTATATTAAAAACAGTACAACATTCCTTAATTTAATGTTGAACAATTCTTTCAGTTTGCTTCACATTGTTTGGCGTTTGTTTTGCTTTCATCTCTTTCATATTAAAGCCATCCAAGAAGTAAAACAAAAAATTTAAGAATTGACCCAATGATCTCACCTGTCGCTGCAGCAATTCTAATTTCTCTGCTTTTCACATTCTCAAACACAGAGAACAGAGTGAATGTGTATTTAGTTCCAGCAGTGAGAGATGAGACTGTATGGTTTACTGGCCCCTCTCCATCTGGTGCACTGATGTGAGTCTCAAAACCCTCGAACTGAAGAACAAAGCTGACGTTTTTCATGACTTTCTTCCACTGCAGAGTTATACTGGTCTCATTTTGGGCTATTGGTATGAAATCGTTTGCATTGTGAGGAACTATTAGAGAAGATATACAATTTTGCATAGTCAGACTAACCATGTTTGAAAAGACATCCAAAGCTCATCATGTATTTATAGAACAAGTGGCTGATTTAAAAATGCAAAGTAGATTTACAGTTACTAAATGCCTGTATTATATGCTGGTAATTACAAAACTTTTAAACCATGTGATTCTTGTCAAAGTAGCTACATATGGTCTGGCACTTTTCTTACTGTAACACCATCCTTTCATCATTCATACTTTCATACTTTTGATCTGAAAATCAGCTCAGAGCTTATCTGCTTGAACTGTTTTCACCCCAGACTAAACCATCTATTTAGCTAGTATACCATTACCTTCTCTAACACTCAAAGTATTCATGGATTATTGCCTCTATGTTTCTTTTTTTGCACCTGTTCCTGTCTTCCCAAACCCCCCATGAGCCTTGGCAGGTTTCTCACTCTGAGTCTGGCTATGCTGTTATAACTGTGGTTTACTTTCTACTATCTTTGCAGGCATGCTTTGTGATGGGATTGCTGTCAAATCAATTACACTATTCAAGTATGTCAACTATCACTACATGCTAATCAAGGAGGAGGGAATCATGCCAAGTTAAAGACTAGATGCTAGTAAGTTTTAGTTTTTCAAGTGTGTATGATTGAAGTGACTTGAATTAAAAATAAAGAACCTTGTTAATTTACATCATTTAAAGAAGTACATTGAAATGACTGCAAGCAAGTGGATGCATCAGTGAAGGTCTGGTCTACTGCCTTAAAACTGGCAGTAGATCAGACTGAATAACAGAATTTTAAAAAGGAAAACTATACTTAGATTAAAATAGAACACAGTCTTGCTACAATTGAGATGCTGATTGTTGTAGCTATATTGCCTAGCATAATCAAAATACAATACTGTACATACATGATTAGCTACAACCAAATAGGGTTTTTGTTTAACGTCTTACCAGTGACAGCTGTAAATTTTACACCACTGCTTCTGACATTCTCAAACACAGAAAATAGGGTAAAAGTGTGTTTATTTCCTGCAGACAGAGATGAGATTGTGTAGCTGACTGGTCCATCTCCATGTGGTGCAACAATGTTTGTCTCTTTGCCATTAAACAGAAGAACAAAGCTGATGTTTTTGTTGATATTATTCCATTGCAGAGTGATGCTGCTCTCATTTTGGTTTGATGCTCTCACAGCTTCAGGTTTTTGGGGAGCTAGACAAGAAAAATCATGTATCAATAACTAACTTTACCAGGCTTGTAGGGTCCAAAATAAAAGGTATTAAAAGGTAATAACCAGAGTGTTATTCATATTAGTATTATGAATAACACTTTGGTTTTATTTATGTTTTGACTATTCAGTTTAAACAAATTTTGTAACCTTTGAATAAAGTAGTCCTTAAATAAAGCAGATTATTCTTCAGCTTTCTTAAGTACCCTTAGCCAATGTAGTAATGTCTTTGCTCCATTACAAGTCAACACTACTGTCGAGGCAGTAGATCATTTTTAGCCTTGTCCTGCTTGTTCAAATACAAACTGTAGGTGAAATTAAATTGATCTTTTGTCAGACAATGGTTTGGATTAAACATAATTATAAGAATTTAGAATGATAAGGAATGTTCTTAAATAATAAATATTAACAAAAATTATTAGCTATGGATAAGATCATACGTTATTCATTAGCTGGCTTTAATTACATCCATCAATGTTCTGTCTTTGCTTGAAAACACTCCCACCTAGTGGCCAGAAACAGTTTCTGGCATTTTTTCTTTTGGTCTAAATTCTTAAAATATGTGAAGATGCACAATTTTTTACCTTTTCTCCCCCCAAAAAATAAACATAAAATACTTTAAAAGAAACACTTTATTAATATTTAAGTAGACGCTGTTACAGATACTATGACCATAATTTTAATAGTATACGGCTATGGAGATTTAAATTGTTAAAAAGACATAGATGTCGCATATATTTTCTTACCTGTGACAGCAATAATTTTCCCTCCACTGCTTCTGACGCTCTCAAACACAGAAAAGAGAGTAAATAGGTATTTAGTTCCAGCAGAGAGAGATGAGATGGTGTGGTTTATTGGTCCATCTCCATTTGGTACACCGATGTTTATCTCTGTGCCATTAAACTGGAGAACAAAGCTGATGTTGTTCACTTTATCCCACTCCAGAGTGATACTGGTCTCATCTTGTTCTAATACTCTGAAGGATTCTGCATTTTCAGGAGCTAAAAGAGATAAATCATGGATTAATCAATCTAAGTCTAGCAGGCTTGGTGGTTTTTATGTCTGAGTCAAGTTTAAGAATTCTTTATTAAAACACCCAATGGCCCAAAAGCTGTTTAACCTGAGTTTTTGCCATTTATTGTCATGACATTAAAATTAGCAATACTCAGTCCTCAGCATTCTAAAGGCTCCACTGGGATGTAATCTGTTTCATTAATCAATATTAACAAAAGTTATCAGCAATGAAAAAGATTAGACAGTATTTTTTAGCTGGCTTTAGTAACATTAATCAATGCAGTAGTGTCTTTGCTTGAAAACACTCCCACCTAGTGGCCAGAAACAATTTATGACATTTTTTTTTGTCTAAATTATTAAATTATGTGAAAATGCACAATTGCTGACTTTTTTTTTTAAATAACACACATAAAATACTTTAAAAGAAACACTTTCTTCACATTTAAGTAGATGCTTACTAAAACAGTCACTATAATCTTGAGAGTACAAATATAAAAATTTATATTGGTAAAAAGACGGAGGTGTTGCATCAAACATCTTACCTGTGACAGCAATAATTTTCCCTCCACTGCTTCTGACGCTCTCAAACACAGAAAAGAGAGTAAATAGGTATTTAGTTCCAGCAGAGAGAGATGAGATGGTGTGGTTTACTGGTCCATCTCCAGTTGGTACACCGATGTTTATCTCTGTGCCATTAAACTGGAGAACAAAGCTGATGTTTTTGTTGACAATATCCCACTGTAGAGTGATACTGGTCTCATCTTGTTCTAGTGCTTTGAAGGCTTCTGCATTTTCAGGAGCTAAAAGAAATCAAACATGTATTAACCAATCTCATTCTACCAGGCTTGGTGGTTTTATGTCTGAGTCAAATATTAGAATTCTTTATATTAATACCTTATGCTCCAACTCGAGTTTTTGCCATTTACTGTTATATTAAAACTAGCAATACCAATCAAATCTCGGTGGAACTTTTGGAATAGTGAGGCCTGTGTTTTGATTAATCAATGTTAACATGTTATCAGCTATGAATAAGATCATACGGTATTCATTAGCTGGCTTTAATTATGTCAATCAATGCAGTACTGTTTTTGCTTAAAAACACTCCCACCTAGTGGCCAGAAACAGTTTCT